GAACTGATGATGTACAAAGTAAAAGAGATAATAAACCTGAAACAGATTCCGAGATGGGTGAGAGAACAGAGGAAGGACGATTCTTGGCGACACTACTGACTAAAAGAAATATGTTATTCAGATGGTTAGTACCAGAAGAGATGCTAGTGTCGTGACAAGAGAAGCAAATCAAAGTAGACAACCTTGAGAAAGCACAAAACCTATATGATAAACTAGTGGGAGTAGAAGAACAGAGCAGCAGAGAAGAATTAGAGTCCGTAAGCCAGGAAGAGCAACAACAGGAACCAAAAGAAGAACACGAAGAAAAAAGGAAGGAAGAAAAAGAACAACAGGAAGAAGATGACTTAAGACCAAGAACACAAAGAGACACAAGAGCTACAAGAAGACAAAGACAATAGAAGAATGGGAGAAGAAATCAAATTAATTTCAATAAATATCAATGGACTAAATTCCCTGGCCAAAAGAAAGCAAAGTCTGGTAAATTAGAGAAACAAAAAGTAGATGTAATATGTCTCCAGGAAATACACATTAAAATACAAGATAAGAAGTATTTAGAATACCCTAAATTAGGAAAATTATATACGACTTTAGTTGATTTAAAAAAAGAAAAGGGATAGCTATATATGTTAGGGAAGAGAGAAAGGCAAAATTAATATATGCAGATATAAAGGGAATAATGCTGATGATTGAAATACAGAAATATTATTACAGCTATAGTTTCTGGATCTGTGTGGTCTCAATTCATTTGGTAGGCTGGTTTGAAGTTATAATTGCTGTATACTAATTAAATGAATTGAATATGAGTTTGTCATTTAAGATATGAATTGTTGTAATTTTCCTTTCAAATTCTTAAACTCAGAAATGAGCCACTACAAAATATAAATTATTTGTTTATCTGACCTTGTGTACACAATAACAATTGCTGTCCTTCTCTAGTGCCTTCTTTGCATAACCAAGGGCTTCATAAGCCAGCTGCTTCTTTTTTTCTGCTGAAGTATGACTAAGTTGAGCAAGGTCTCGTAAAGCTCGTGCCAGACGCCACAATACTTGTGCATTTTCACTACATGTTAACATATATAACAGGATATATTGATTATGATGTACCATAGTAAGGTATCAATGTAAAGACATTTTTAATATACTTTTAACTACTAAACAATAATTCTATGAAGGAACTTTGTATAAAACAATATAAAGACAGCTTAATAACAACACATCACTGCATGAGACTATAATAATTTTAATTGAGTATTTTGCAACAAATTGTATCTAGTGAGAGTAGAGGAACTCTACAAGAGTAAACATCTCCAGAAATTAAACTTTGGGGACATTCAAATTTACCCAACAGAGTTTTTATGAACCGTACATTCCCAATCTCCTAAATGCATTTAAAAAATTGATCTTAAAACTTCAAACTGTTTTATTGCTAATTATTATTATAGTGTCATGTACTGATGTGTTATTATTTCATTTGGAGTGTTTTACATTGAAATCAATTAGAAGAAAAAATTGTTTTTTAAATGAGAGTAAAGGGACTCAAAAAGTCCACTACATTCTAAAATACTGATTTCAACCCTTCCGTGTACCAGTGATTTTGTATCATCACTGTGTGGTCTATGCCAACTTCAGCCCACTAGACCATGCTGAAATAAATATCATAGTGTACCTGTTTTTGTGTTCACTCAGCAACTGATAAAGCTTTTCGGTTTCTCCACTTTCATAGAGATAATCTGCTTGATGTACGATTTCATCAACTTATGATATAATAAAACAAGAATTCAATGAATCTGCCCATCTGTGAAGCAGGTATTACTTAATAACAAAACAATTCATGTAATTGTATACCGACATAGTAATATTATAAGTCTGGAATAGAAGACAGTTTTAATAGAAGTAGTATCATGATAGTCAAAACACATTTCTTTCTTTCTATCAACAATTTTATAAGGTACTGTTAGGCTGAGTCTATTAACAGAAAGTGTTTCCAACAACTACCCCTCTTTTTCAGCCAGTGTCAAAGAATATATTACAATATAAAACACTGATCTAGTTTAATCTTTCCCAATTTACCTGCTCTTAGATAAGTTAGACAAGTCATAAGTCAACAGTTTTACTGGCACAAATAAACCAAAGGATATAGGTCATATAAGTATTAGATGATATATAAAAGAACAAAGTCAGCCAGAGAAAGGATATGTTAATATGTTAAATATGATTTTATATATGTATTTATAAAAATATAAATTCTGTAAACAAATAAAATATGTAAAATCCATTTTATATTCATTAGCAGCAAATTCTTTTTACAATAGATACCCATGCCAATCTTCATCTCAATAATCATCTTATGGCAGAACTTCAATTTCATCAATATTTTTCTAAGTAAAGTTCTTCTATTTGATTATTTTAAATACATAACATTTCCTGAGCTTCAAGGTTGTTTAAGAGCTCTCAAGGAAAACATACAAAACTATAATCTGCAACATTATTTGCAGTTTCCAAGATCTCCTAAAGATGGAACCAATATTTTCCAACTATCCTCTTCTGTATAGGGTATGATAGGTGAAATGGATTCCTTAAACCTTTAAAACCAGGGTTTTAAAATACTGATTGAAAGAATGAAATATCAGGCTGATATTCCCTTTTTTCATTTTAGAAAACAAAATCAGTATCTAAATATTTGCAAGGCTGAATAAATGGATTTTTCTACATTGAGTCACCTCAGTGCTAGGCCTCAGAACCATCCAATACCCTCTCCCACTTTATATTTCCCATAGGATCACATAACTTTAACCTTACTATCCTTTTATTGGATACTGAAGACCTGGTTTTAACTCCAGGCCTTAGGTTAGGTAGACTAGGGTCACCTGAGTGTGTGCTTTCTACTGGGTAAGTTATTTCCCTGGTTACCACATTTGTTTTGTATTATATAATTGTATTATATAATATGTATGCCACTAGAGTTCTAGTGAGTTGTGTGATTTATAAATGAATAACACAGAGTGAAAACAAGCTGTATCTCTTATAAGCAGCCATACCTAATCTTTCCTCTAATAAAAAAAATCAGATTACATTTTAGGGATGGAGGATTGGATTTGACAACTGTACATTTTTATTTTAAAAAACTTACTTTTCACATCAGCAAGAACCATAGCAGACCGAGAGATTACTAGATAAGTGTTGTATCCGAGGTAGGACAATGCTGAAAATATAAACCCTCTTCTGAAAATTTTGGATTTTTCAAACACCTAATAAAAAAATCAACAGAGCTATTTACAAATCTGATAACAATATTTTTATCTAAGCACCACAAAGTGGCTAAATGTGGAATTTTTCAGTATGTCAAAAGCTACCTATTGTACGTCACAACTCCTGAGTTCAATCTGTTGATAAACTCTATTTCTGCCCCTCAAATTATTCACTGCTACCTTTGGTTCTCTCTCAGTTGTGACCATTTTATCAGGGCATCTTGTTTACAAGGAAGCAAAATATTGTAAATTTAAAAACCTCAAGCTTCAGTGTACGTTTTCCTGTTAGTATGCACGAAAAATAGGTATTTAATGCTAAGCAGACATTCTAATTACATACTTTAAAATGTTTAAGGTTTTCTCACTAAGAGATTTTAGAATATGGATTCTAATTCTTTCTATTGCACTCATCTTGGAGAACATATGTACAAGCACATACACATATAAGCTAGTCAAAGTGTGATCTGAATTTACTAGTTTAATAGTTCTGCCTTAGGCACAAAACCAACTGACTTCAAGTCATTTCCCTCTTAATGTCTCCCTCAGTCCTAGGAAGGATGCAATGGGAAATCACTTCTGGAAATGTTATCAAGAAAAATTGCAGGATTAGCCTGGCACTTGCCAGGAGTCAAAACTGACTTGAAGACATAAGACAACGATAAAGCCATGAAACCGTCCATGTTGTTTGGACTATTCTCTCTCTCTCTCTCTCTCAGGGGAAGGGGATATTTGTCCAAGAGCAAAATACTACAAGAATAAAACACAGACATTAAGAACAACTTGGAAGCACCACGTCAGTAAGAACTATTTTATGTCTCTTTATTATCTGTTTTGTCAGTAAATCAAACATTCCCCAAATGCCCAAAGTTGCTTTTTCAAGAAGCAACTGGACTTTTTGGTTTTTCTTTGAATACGTTTTGCTTGTCATCCAGGAAGCTTCTTCAGCTCTCAAACGTCTTCAAAGAAAACTAGGAAGTTCAGTTGCCTCTTGAAAAAGCACCTTTGGGACAACCATGACCTGGAGGATTGAGAATCTCCAGACATTCCCAAAACGTCACACATTTTTCTCAAAGAAAAACCATAGGTCAATTGTCCTAATTTTTCTTATTCAGCAAATTAGGAAACTCGAAGAAGAGTATAGCAGCTTATCTTCATAGGCTTAAAGATGCAGGAATAATCCAGGGGTCCCCAAACTTGAGGACTTCAATTCCACAAGTCTTAGCCAAGTTTGAAGACCTGTGGAATGATTCACGCTGGGGAGAAGACGAAGGCAAATTACAAAGAACATTTAAGAGAGCCATGCTTTTCAATCAGACCAAGACCATCATTTTTTCCTATCCCAGTCATACCTCGACTCCCCTTTTTCCTCCATGGCCTGAAGAAAGCTGACGGCTGCAGCCGGATTTTATTCTTGGAGCCTCGCAAAAGAAACGGGTCTCCAGGAAAGAGCAACTTCGAAGCCAAGGTCGCACCGCCACCTTCCCCAACGCCATGACAAAAAGCTTTCCTTGTTATTTGTATTTTTTCCCGCCGCTCCGCCCCCTCCCATCACCCTTTCCTCTGATATTCCGGAAACAGGAACTGCCTGTTCAACGCCTCCACAGCCTTTTCGCATGTCTCTGATCTACCGGAATTCACCGGAAACCCCCCCCCCCATGTTCCCTTCTGAAAAAGTCCGCAGGGAACAAGATCCGAGTTGCATTCATTCCACTCTGCCTTGGCAACCGCTGTGACAACCGCGATTTCTCAAGCATCTTACCGCCACTCTTTGCTCTTCCCTGCGTACTTAGTGGTTTTTTTTAAAAAAACTGGCAAGGGAATTCTGGGAGTTGAAGTCTACAAATCTTAAAAGTGACCCAGTTTGAAAAAGACTTCATTGCATTGACTTCTCACGCGCCGAGAAGCCGAGTTGCCAGAGTTCTATCACGTGATCCCGATCATTTTCAAGGAGAAGAGGAGCATCCCACAAATTTTTGGTTAGTCTAGGAATCTTTAAAAAAACAAACAACCCCACCCCCCCCCTCAAACACACCACCTTTACGGTGGTTTTCAGACGCAAAGCAGAGCGCATGCGCCTTTGGGTGCCAACAACTGGCTGTTTTACCACGTTGGGAAAATTGCTCGGATTACACAATTGGGAGCGAGGGCGGGGCGGGGAGCATCAGCAGAAGCGCCGTCCCTTTAAATACCTGAGTGGCCTTACCGCTGCTGCTCGCATTGCGCTGCATTGTATTGCCTTGCTTCGTGGAACAGAAACTGGGCGAGGCCGGAGAAGAAGGATCGCTGCTTACGGAGGCTGTTGTGATCTCTCCAGGTCGGTACAGCGGCGAGTATTCCTTCTCGATGGGTCGAACTTTTCGGTCGGGCTGGTCGGGGGATGGTGGACCTTGAAGGGCATCAGTTTGAGCAACACTAGTCGAGGTAGAAGGCAGTGGATCCCGGAGAAGCGGGGGAGGGGTGAGCAGAGGGATAAAAAGACGGAAAAGGTTCGTTTGGATGAGTGGCAGAATAACTGCAGAAAAGAAAGTTTATATAAATAGGTTGATCGTTATTGATACTTAATATCAGTAATGCATTGGAGGTAGATTGCAGGCCGGGAGACAATTCGTGGGCGAATTAGTATCTGTCTTGGAGATTATTTTGGAGAAAAGACACTGCCAATAAGGTGTGGCTCCTGGGACATCTGTGGAGAAATCAAAGGCAATGAATGGTATGCTAGGTCCACTTAATGCTTTACCTGTGCAGGCTGTGGCAAGAGAAAGGGTAAGAAGGAGAAAGTCTAGCACTGCTCGGATCGTGCTGATTTCTTTTAAGAAGTTGGAGCTCACTGTTAGAAACCTATTAGAAAACCTATTTTCTAACCTATGTTAGAAAATCTATTTGGCTATTTAATCTTCTGTTTCGTTCAGAGGTTTGTGGAAGCATGTGTGCCTTCAAGTCATTGTTGGCTCCTGGTGACTGCCTGGATAAGACTCTGCAATTTTCTTAGCAAGATTTTGGAATTGCTTTGCCATTTCCTGCTTCCTAGGGCTGAGAGGGAATGGCTGGTCCAAAGTCACCCAACTGGCTTGCTGCCTAAGGCAGGACTAAAGGTCTGGTTTTCTAGCTTCATGCCTTAATCACTACACCAAACTGGCTCCCTCAGAAGTACAAGGTTGCATTTTTTTTTCTGAAAAGGATATTACGCTTACAGATATTATCTTTGTAATTTGCTATTTTCATGGGTCCCATCTATGCTGCAGCTAAGTCCTCTCTTTACCACCAGTTGAGAACCTCTAGTTTAGATCATCACATGACATTATGGGACCCAGTGTTATCTTTGCACTAATGTGCTGGTGCAGTATTGTATTTTTTCCGTTAGTCTTACATTTAGTAGGAGTAACTATTATCACAAAACAGCCCCCAGATTTTCTGTTTTCTTCTTTGTGAAAGATTGCCTATGCTATCCCAGGTTCATAAGAGAAGGGGGATACAAAGAAAGGTGTTTTTTTTTATCACACTCCCTTTCTTTGAAAGCTATGTTGCTCTCTTCCATAATTGTATTCCAGGAGATTTTGAGGAATGAACTCTTCTGGAAGGCCCTTAAGAATGACTGTGCAGCCCCTGAAGCTTAGCTTCTTTAACTAGTTTACTGGTTGTGTGATGTGTGTATAACATTAATAAAGTTTTTTAAATAACCAGCAAGAACGAATAGACAAAAGTGCAAGAAGGAAAGAAAAAATATAGACAGAAGCATGTTTCAATTTTCTTTGTAGTAGTTATAAGTGAAAAATGTACATTTTCCTATTACAGTACTTTATACAGATGTTCATCATGCCTTTATTGCTCTAGAAATAACTCAAAGTAGCAAGCATATATAATAATCTTTCCTCCTATTTTACAACAACCTAGCAAAGTGAATTGGCCCCAGGGGTGGGATGCAACCTGTTCTGCCTGGCTCTATAGAACCAGTAGCTCTGAAGAACAGCAGACACCGAACCAGTTCGGTGTCTGCTGCTGTTTGGCCCGCCCGCCTGGGCTGTTACTTGACCTTTATTTCCTGCTTTTTCAACCTTCGCTGCTTTGCGTGGCACAGCTGAGCTTGAAAAAGCAGTAAAGTGTTTTTTGAAATGTGCACCTGCACGCAGTGCTTATCAGCTGTCCAGGTGGCACAGCTTATGGTGTATTACATGCATGCACAGCACCTGTCTGGTGTGCAAAGTGTGCGTGTGCACGCAAAACGTAACTACCGAACCGGTAGTAATGCCGGTTGAATCCCACCCCGACTGGCCCAAACTATCACCTTCATAGCTTTCATGCCTAGGCCTGGACTAAAACTCAGTCTCCTGGTTTCTAGGCCAGCACCATAACCATTATACCAAATTGGCTGTCAGTTACAAAGTTTATATTTTTTCTATAATTTTTTTCCCCTGATTGTCAAAACCATGTGTCAATTTAACTTTTTCTTTATTTCATGTAAAAAGTCTGGAAGAAGTTTCCAGTCACTTTTACTGGTTGTATTCATTGTGTGTTTCTTTTTTCTGTCTGACACATTGTTATGGAGGATTCTCTATGAGATACTTAAAATTTGATAGGATGTAGATTTGATAAATAATTGGAAATGGTTCAAAGCAGGATAAGAAACAGTTGACTAAACATTAAAACTACTGAATGTATGAGTTTGATGACATCCTTAAGGATTGTGACACTAGATAGCAAGCTTTGCTAGATTAGATTACATTGCATAAAATGTGTGGTTTTCAAGTTACATCGAAAGTAAAGATGTGTTGATCCCTTGTTTCTGAAAATATAAAATTCATATATTAACCCTATCTGTTTTAATATTTGTACAAAGTGCTTGATTGAAAGCAAGAGTAAATATTTAGACACTATAAGAAAGCAGTGGATAACATCGAATGATATATTAAAGTCTAAATAAATACATGGTTAATTAAGTGACATTAAGTACAGTAACAGCTGGAGAGATACACAGTAGTTTCAAAAATTACATATGGGTACAACTTACTAAATAAGCTAATAGATTATTGATATATGCATGGTACACGTGATAATTGATTTTCCCATCCCATGTTGCAGATGGCGGCGCAGTGTGTAACAAAGGTGGAGTTGACTGTTTCTTGTAACAATCTCCTGGATAGAGATATTAGCTCCAAGTCAGACCCACTTTGTGTGCTACTTCAATACACAAGTGGACAGCAGTGGTACGAGGTATGTTACAATGGCCATTGGGAGGTCGGTGAAATGAGGATCCAGATTGTTGGTGGCAATATGTTGACTCTAAACTGCTTAGAAAGGGGTGGAAAGCACTGTGAAGAGGTATATAAGTCTAAATCCTATTGCTATTAATACAGTCTGATTGCTTGGTTATTGGGAAATAGTAAGTTCAGGATCTCCTCTTTTGACTTTACCTTAGGTATTAGGACTACTTTGTTTTTAAACGAAAATGCACCATTAACCATTTCAAATGGCAGTTTCTACATATTCAAGCAGTGTAAGAAGAGCTCTGTTTCTTTTTCCTTTTATTAGAAAATTCATTTTACTGTTTAAACGTTCACATATAGGATTGCATCCCACTTTGCCAGTCTGACACAAAAACAGAATAGTAGTTCTTTTGCCAGGTGTCTTGCAAATCTTTTCCGGAGGATTGAGTGTCTTTTTGAGAGATGGAAGGTGCATGACACATAGTTAAAAGGAGAAGGGAGTCCCATTAAAAATAGTCCTTGACCTATGACTACAATTAGGAAGTTATGTGGTCATAAAGTACAACATGCTGTGGGCCAAAATGACTACCATAATTTCAAACCGCTGCTGAATAAGTGGTTATAAATTGAGGACTTTTTGTAATTGAATAGGTGTTCCTTGATAGCTTTGCAGTGTCTTGGGCAAAGAATTAATAAAACATCAGTTTAAAAGTGCATAGTTTCTGGTTTTTCTAAAATTGCATTTTGTGTTAAAAGACTTTGCATAATATTTCAAATGCTTCTGAAAAATATGAAAAACAGTGGTATCATAATCATTTCATATTTATTTGAAAGTAAGTTCAGTCAAAATAAACAGAACTGGCATTTATTGATTTAATATAAAATTATATTTGTATTCTGTGTTATTATGTTACTGTATTAACTTTCATGTATTCGATTAATGAAGGGTGTGGGGTTTTTTTTTTGTAAACTACATTTTAGCAATCTGCAAAGGAAAATCTGTCAGCATTCTATCATTGTAAAGATTTTTTTTAAAGATTTCTTCATGCCTAAAAGGTTCTGTTTATATTTTACAAAAGTTTCAACATAATTCTGTGCAAATCTGTTTATACTTACTAAGATTTATACATTTCATTTTATTATTTGATCCCTGCTTTATTACTTTATAAATAATTCAGGGAGGCAAATATATTTATAACTCCTTCCTCCATACTAATATAAACCGGTATGGGATTGCATATTTACCCTTATTTTATTAAATTTTCTGGGAGAGAGTGCATTTTTCAGAATGCTCAAACAGAAGTTTGAGAAATAAAAAATAGTGATAAACCACTCTACTTTATTGCAGGTTGATCGCACAGAAAGAATCAAAAACAGTTTGAACCCTAAATTTTCCAAGAAATTCCAGATTGATTACTATTTTGAACTAGTTCAAAAACTCAAATTTGGGGTTTTTGACATTGATAATATAACTGTTCAGCTGAACGATGATGACTTCTTAGGAGAATTTGAATGCACACTGGGTCAGGTATGTGCAAACGGGTTCTGGACATTTCTTAAAATATAATAGCCTTGGCCATAGGGGAAAAGACCAAAATACATTGACAAGATGCCTTTATTTTGACAAGGAACATTCTGTTATAACCAGCTTGCCTGATCAACAGATTTTTGTATAATTTAAATTAATTTGTGCTTTCTGTTGGTTTTGTTCTAGAACAGGGGTGTCAAACTCATGTCATCACAGCAGTGTCACATGACGTATCGGGACTTTTTCCCCCTTTGCTAAACCGGGCTTGGGTGTGGCCAGCATGTGATGCATCCGGCCCACGGGCCAGGAGTTTGACAACCGTGTTCTAGAAATTGTAATTGGTTCATGTACCATTGAATTTGATCCAGCAAATGGCACGACTTGAAATTCCATTTATGCTAAAATTAATGTTCTATTCCTTGCACACACACAGTGAAAATGGAAGACATTGATACTTATTGTCCACCTCCTTTTCAATTAAAAAAAAAAACTATACTCTTTAAAAGCAATTTGAAGATTTTACACCATTTTTAAAATCAAAACAGAATGGGAGGAATTAAAAGCGCAAAACTAGTAGGCTATTTAAAAATCTTTCTCATTTGATGTGTGTGGGTGCATGTGTGCAGGCCTCCAAATCAGTTTTGATTCTCAGCAACTGCCTGAAGCCCTGCAGTTTGCTTGACAAGATTTCAGAAATGGCTTGACATGCCTCCTTCCTAGGGGTGAGGAAGAGTGATAAGCCCAAAGTTACGGAACTGGCTTCATGCCTCAGTCGAGACTAGTATTCACAATCTCCTGGTTTCTAGCTTGGTGTCTTAAGCGCTTAAACCAAACTGATTCTCTCAGTTTAACATACTCAGTTGATAAAATAGTGGATTTTACACTAGGTGACGTTTGGACTAGATGATCTCTAAAGATCCTTCTTGCTGTTACATTCTATGATTCTGCAGTTAAAAAATAAGTATGGGTGAAGATATCATTGGGACATTTGTCTACTTTGGTAGTTGAGCCATAATAATCATGGCTTTTCATACTAATATTGATTGAAACGAGATCTGTATGGCAGATACGGTTTTCTTTTTTTATCCTTGGGTATATTGTAGCTTCTCTCATATCTTCCTTAGTGCAGTATTTTCTATTCCATCTTAATTAGGAAACTAATTAAGTTTTAATTTAAATTAAATGTAAGAATTGAAATATAACAAAAACTAAGGTATAAGATGGCTTATGATCAAAAGAACAGTGGTAGAGATTATGGATTTGATTATAGTTTTTGACTTCGTAAAACATTAATTGCACCTGGAGCAACCTTCAGTTACTAGAGGTGGTAATTGTAATAAATTGCTTTCTTTTCCTGAATATTTCTATATTTTACAGATTGTTTCTAGCAAGACGCTTACAAGACCTTTATTGTTAAGAAATGGCAGACCAGCAGGAAAAGGTGTAATTACGGTATGAAAACAAAGCAGAAGTTTTCTGATTCATTTTTTAGTTTCTCTTTTCTACCCCGTTCCAGTATATAAATATAAGCAAGAGAAATGAATAATCTGTCATTCAGCATGGTGTGATTTTCTGCCAATATGCATTTGAAAGTGTTTTCTGAAAGTGTAAAGTGTTTTTCCATAAACTTAAAAACTATTTACATTTTCCTGATTTGTTCAACATTTTCTTCATTTTTGTGGTCTGAAAAATAGGTAAGTGTATTTTTAATCCAAAGACAAATCTGCTGCATACTAGATTTGGGTTTATATTTTTAAATAGTAATCTTGTTATTTTCTAAATTCTTTTGAAAATTAAAAACATTTTTTAAAAAATAAGATGATGATTTTAGGAAATAGGATGGTGTATATATCTTTTATTCTGATGAAAGCAAGGCAGAATCTCATTGAGCAAAACCAGGGGCAAAAATTTAAAAAGTTACCTGTAACTACGTTCAAATGTCAGGTGTACTTCTCTTAGAATTTTCCATTTGTTTTCTGTTGTTCATAAAATAAAACATAACCATAATTTATTAGAATGGATTGTTTTAATGGTAAACATTGGTCTGTTTTTATTCAGATTAGTGCAGAAGAAATAAAAGACAACCGTGTAGTCCTACTTGAAGTTGAAGCAAGGAAATTAGACAATAAGGTGAGATGACTGGAAAACTTGTCCACCTTAATTCCTAACATTTGTTTCCAGGGTTAGATATCGGCCATCAAGAAGGTGATTGTTTTCTCTCTCTATATATATAGGCCCTCCACAGCAGTATTTCTCTTGATGTGTTCCCACATAACTTGCTGTTTTGGAAATCACTGTACTCAGATTGTCACGCTATAGCAAGTTTTACTCAAAATTGTAAACCTGGTTCAAGCTGTTGGCATAAGATCCTGGCTTTGGATTCTTGGTTTAGAATAATATTTTCCCATTCTATCAGGTCAGATTGAGGGGTGGGGGGTGGAAGCACACTCCTAGTCCCTTCTCCTACATATTGCCATTTGGTGGGAGCTTGGAAATGTGCTTTTTCCAAGAACTGGTTTTTCCCCCAGCACTGGGATATTATTGCATTCTGCACATTGGAAGTCTGACTTGGCACCAGATTATTTTTAATATTTCATCATATTTGGTTTTATAATTTCAGCATGATTTTATATGCTGTTTTAATTTTTGATCAGGAGCTGCCCAGGTAATTAAAAGATGGGTGGCTGTATAAATTTTTAAATAAATAATGGAGAGGGGAGTGGAGTGGAATGGAATGGAATAGAATAGAATAGAATAGAATAGAATAGAATAGTAGGAAGGGACCTTAGAGGTCTTCTAGTCCAACTCCCTGTTTAGGCAGGAAATCCTGTACATATAAAATAAATGAATATTTAAAATTAATTGACTGAACTGTAGTTTACAAACAAGAGGGTTCAAATAGGTGGTGTTTTGGAGAAGGACATTCTACAGCCCAAATTACCTAATTATGGCAGGACCATTGCATCTGCATTGTTCTAAGGATGGAATGTTACATTTAAATAATCATTTTTGGGGAATATACTAGGAGATTAGAGCATTGAAATTGTAAAAAATTTCAATAACTCTGTTTCAGGGAGAAATGGTTATATTTTTAGTGAACTTTAAACGAACATCTTGGTATTTATACTGATTTTTCAGTCCTTGTTTAACCTAATTATTTTTTGTTGCCTTCCTAGTTTGTTGCCATTATTCCCTTTTAGAGAACAATATTTTATTGTTATGTATTTCCTGATTTTTTTTCAAGGAAGAAAGTCTATTATCAAAAAAATTATACTTAGCCCTTTGCAAAATTATCAGTGAGAGGGAATAAAGAGAATTGCTTTGGACAACAAAGCTATTACCAGAAAAGTGTTATTTAGAATATAATTCACATAGTTTATTTCTAATTCCAGGATTTGTTTGGAAAATCTGATCCTTATTTGGAATTTCACAAGCAGACATCTGAAGGAAAATGGGTGATGGTGCACAGGACCGAAGTAAGTGCCATTTTCTGGGTCTGGTTATTTCATATCACAGCTTATTTCAGCATCTTTAATTCTGATTTCTGAAACTTTGCAACTAAACTCTGAATGAATAGCATTTTAAAAAAAATCAGCTGCAAGTTTTAAAAGCCTTTTTTTATTAGATTTTTTTTTCTTAATAGAACAATATCAGTATTGAAATAAAAGCCTACTTTCTTATACAGCAATACATTTGTTATATTTTTGGATAAAGTTGTGCTAGTTTTATCCAAAATGATTTATTCAGAAGTTATGCTAATATATCTAAAATATATACTTTCATAGGTTATTAAAAATAATTTGAATCCTGTCTGGAGGCCATTCAAAATCTCCCTCAACTCTTTGTGTTATGGTGACATGGACAAAGCAATCAAGGTAATATTGAAGGAAACCAGAATTGTTCATTATAATTTGAATTTTGAACAAAGGTGTTTTAATTTAGAACCTTAAGATAAATTTCTGTTCTGTAGCTTTATGAGTTATGAATAAATTTGTACATTTATTTATTTAGCGCGTGGTATGTGTTAGCCACGGATCACCGAGGTGGCAGCCTGCCTCTGTGAAAGGAATTTTTTCGGGCGGTATTATCTTTATCCGTGGGACACCTGAATGTCAGTAGGTAATCGGGGAGGCTCCTTTCTTGTCCCTCCTCGGTTTATTCGCTCACGGGAATCAAGCTGCAGGGCGGCGTGCAGGCCCAGCGTCTTATCATGAGAGCTATTAAATTAGGATTTGCTTATCGGAAAATTAAAGAGATTCATAAATATAACAGCAAAATAAACTCGTAGGTAATGAGTGACAAGCAAAATTTTATTCTAATCAATTACCAAAATATCATAGATAGACCTGATGTCAGGAGAATATGCCTCAGTTGACACAGAAGCTACCTATTCAAGAATTTCCCTAGTTTGATGGCATCTATTTGTATTAAACTATATTAGACTACAACTCCTACCAGCATCCAACCAGCAGGCCTGTTGGCCAGTCTTCAGCTGATGAAAAAGCAACATATCGAAGGTGGGGAAACATGGTCTAGTTCTTCTTTAGTGATACATCTGTAACTGAGTTTATGTAAGACCATATTCCTCACCCATTCATTTTTCTAAAATGCGATAAATCAATAATAGCAGGCTGAGTTTTCAAACCATTTTTCAAATTAGTTTTGCATATCTTACATCAAATCTTGCTTCTATGCTTATAGTTCTGCTCTCTAATATCTTTAGGCCTTATTTCTTTAATGGGGTAATTAATTTAATACCTCTTTTCCCCTTAATACTGTTTTGGAATTTAAACACTACCCTGATAGCCACAAGCAAAGACACCTTGCATTTCCAAAAGTGTTTGCAAAAATGTATTTCATGTGAACTTATCTCCAGGGCTGCTTAATGTGACATGTACATAGTTTGCTTCCCAGAAGTATACCTCAGAGCCTTTTTTACACAGTAGTAGTATAATGCTTTCAACTTTTTTTTTTCAAATAAAAGAGGAAGTATGAAGCAATGTTGAATCATATAACAATCCTGGCAGCAAATTTCAAAACAGAAGGACACCATTTCATCTGCCCACTCACATCTTTATTTCCTTGAATTCAAAAAAGAGTTTTTCAGCTTATTCATATGGTTTCATCTTGCCTTATTAGCTTTGATACGTTTTTGTTTATCCATTCGTTGATGTTCTACTCTCTCCCTATTTTGACTTAAGGATTTCCATAGGAAAGGAAAAATAATGAAAATAGTAAAGGCCATATTTTTATAGTTTCATTCCTCCTATCTGCCATGATTGCAACTAGTATTTTAACATCTTAGGACAATTACTCTTTCCACATTCATTCTTGCATAATTAATAACTATTATTCAATAAACCATTTAATGTGAGTCTCACTTTGATGGAGCAAAATCAGATGTAGTGAATGTTTGATCTGATGTGTGATCAGGCTTGCAGTCTAAACTTCCTTATTAAGTACATCTGAGAAAATGGAAAAACTTTGATAGTTTCAGGAATTAAAAATCTGCTCTAATGAACAAGGCAGGGAAGTATGTTCTTATAATAACTGAACAATTCTTTCATACTTTATGCACACGGTATCTTACATAGCTGCCTATTTCATTGTAGTAAGTAAAATAATTTTTCTATTTCTTCCTGACAGTATTGTCATTTTATGTGTTCAAATGGTACGTTTCTCTATTCAATGATAATGCAGAAGCATCTCACTTGAATACCTCATTAGTTATCTTCAAAGTATGTCTCTTTGTGTGTTGAAGCAGCAAGCATGAATTCTTTTTTTCTATCATGGGTGGGAAATGCAACTCTCAGTATGCTATAAAACCTATATTAAACATTACTTTCGATGAATATCTCTTAATGATTTGCATATTACTATGTTAATCATTAAATTCAGGAATGACATGTTGAAACATGGGCATTTGTACTGTCTTCTACCTCTAACTTCAGCTTTATTCTGTGTGCTTTCATTATGTCAAAATCTGTTTCCACAAATCATCTTTGGTAATAGGACTCTCTGCATGTTTGCATTAAAGGGAATGTCCGTGCATGTATCTTAAGAACATTAAATATATATATATATATCTTTGGATATGTGCTGGATTGCAGTGTTTATATATTAGACTGGGAGTGAAAGTGAATTCATCAAAAATGATAAATGCAAGAAACTGAATGTCCTTAAAACTTAAGTTTTAAAGCAGAGGTGCAAATACATTAGACATGTAATGGCATATTAAGTAGTAGTGCATTACTACTATTGTTGCATTCAGGCTTTGATGGACAGTGTTTTTAAAAACAAAGTTGACTCTATCACAGTTATTGAATTATAAATGTGTTTGAGCAGCAACGTAGTTTGATACTCTTAAATATGATACCATCTACAATATTCTAGGCTCATGCTATATGCTTCATTTTAGGTCGAGTGTTATGACTACGACAATGATGGATCGCATGATCTCATAGGGACATTTCAAGCTACAATGTCTAAATTGAAGGAAGCCTCTCGACATTCACCAGTTAGTCTATTTTTATACGTCTTTATCATGTTAATTGAAATGAATCTGGAAGCAAACTGCTGGTCCTTGGGACTTTGCTAAAATAAAGAGATTGACTCAGAAGGAGAAGCCTATAAATGGAGTTATCCAAAATGTCTTATTGGACAAAATGAAAATTGCTGTGCAGCATGATAGTATCTGCTTGTTTTCTCTTCCCTTTTCTCACGGGTTTGTGAGCAATTATGACATTTAGCCCTAGACTGCTAATTCCAAAAGAGTTTATTGTTACTTCTATTTGTCTTGTGGTGTGGGCAGAATGCTAAAACATTAATAGCAGTGTAAAAATCAGTAAATACAAAATATTGCACAGATTTGCTTCTTTTCTTTCTTAGGTTCAAGCAAGTAGTTTTTCCACACAATCTTGCGAAAGTAATTGACAACTGTGCTATCCATGACTTATGATATAAAGTTTGGAAGTAGATTTTATTAGACCCATATCTGAACATGACTTGGACAAAGGTTGCCAAAAGTCATATATATGAGAGCACGTTTCTGAGTAAGCAGACTTGGAGATCACAGTCTAAATATATGCCATTTTTACTCTTTTTTTGTAGATGGAATTTGAATGCATCAATGAAAAGAAGAGGCAGAAAAAGAAAAGCTACAAGAACTCAGGGATTGTGAGCTTTAAACACTGTGAGGTCAGTGCTTTCAAAATATTGTGCTCATATTTATGTGGACAAATTCCTTGTTGTGTCCAATCACACTTGGACAATAAAGAATTCTATTCTACGTCCAGCTGTAATAAGGGAAATAGAACAAAAGTGTTTGATTTAATGATTGTACTGAAAGAAAACATTTTTCCTTGCACTGTGACTAAATCCAACATTTTGATGCAGCTTCTGCAATTTTATGATGTTAACAATTTTTAGTATTTTATTCATGTATTAGATTTTTATCCTAAGAGTACAAAGTGTCTTTCCTTTTCCGTACAATTAATCTGACATCAGTTAGGCTGAAAAAGTTGTTTCACTGGTGCATAACTCAGCCTTTGGCACTAATCTGATCCATTGAACTGATTTCCTTGTTTAGCAGAGAGGAAAGATTGCAAATACAACATTGCTTTAGCCACTGCACAGCTTTCCTTTTTTTTTTTTTTAAAGAAAAAGGGTAGTTGAAGCTAGTGAAAGTTGTGCAATAACTGTAAAATGCTGTTCTGTTTCGAAGGAGTAAAAGGTGTTCTGGAGGTCCTGTCTGCAGCTCCTTGGACCAAAAGTCTTTTTTGAGGGATCATAGAGTACAGTTGTGCTATTCCCCCCAAAAAATGTTTGGCTGTTTGCCAGCATATGTTACATTTGAGGCCTCACATGCTCTGACAGCAGCCTTTGGTCTTAGGAACTGAGACTCTGCAGTGCCTTAGTGACTCCTATTGCAACAATACCACACTTGGATTTTGCATTTAGTCAATCCTTAAATTTCTGCAACTAGGACACTGCTGTTCCCATCTCACAGTCCATCCCCATCCCCAATTTAGACATAGAAAATCCTGCTGTGGTCCTGTTGGGAGAAACTACATTGTGAAAAAAAAGTTGATTCCTTGGTTTATGTATCGCTACATGACTTTTCTGTAGGTCATCACAGAATGTACTTTCCTTGACTACATCATGGGGGGATGCCAGCTGAATTTTACTGTAAGTAAACTCTGTCGTAAGTATTGGCAATAAGCTCTATCTCTACTCTATTTGAGAAAGACTAGGTACATGCTCCCATGCCAGAACTATTCCATTAGTACTAAAGTGCTGGCATTACAGAAAACATGATGTTCTACTTTCCTGCTGGAGGACAGGAGGCTTGTGTTCAATGCTGCTCTGTGCTTTTAAACATTGCATTCTGCAGCATTGCTTTGGGATTCAATTTCTATCACTTCCTAAGCCTGTGTATTTATCTTAATTGCTTAATTGCTCAAGGAAGTGCAGCCTCTTTTGAAGTAATTGTAACTGGAAATTGGGTTCACTAGGAAGCACTTTTTTTACTGGATTTGAGAACATTTTCCTAATTGTTAATCTTCATACAGTTTGTGTAAACAAAATCCTTAAAAACTGTTAATTCCATTAGGGAGAGGGAAAACCTTTCACATTTTCCCATACAAACTTAGTTTCTCTGTTGATTGTTATCATAAAAGGTAATATGGAGCAAATTAATGTTTGTATATTATTATTGTTGGTTATTATTGTTGTTATCTCTCATTAAACATGAAAGTCAGTCAACTGAACATTTTAAAATGTATCACAAATATCATTGATTGGCGCTGATGATTGATATAGGTTGCTGCAATTATTATTATTATTATTATTACAGGTTGGCATTGATTTTACTGGATCTAATGGAGATCCTCGTTCTTCAGACTCCTTACATTACATTAGTCCCAATGGAGTGAATGAATACTTGTCAGCCATTTGGTCTGTAGGAATGGTCATTCAGGATTATGATGCGTATGTATTTTTATTTGAATTGTTCTTAAACTGTTGAACATGATGAGTATACTTGGATTCTTCAATAAGTCAAAGCTTATTTTAAATATTTTAATTTATTGTTCACATATTTTTAAATTTTTTCCATCCTTGATTGTATCAATAAGAGCAGATTTTTGATATACACTTACATTAAATGGTATGGCTAAGATAAAACTAAACATTCTCACTGACGCATCTTCTCAGTGAAAGAAAGTATAAAGGGGGGGAGATGGATTTTTGAACAGTTGCTGAGGTAATTGAACATTTGCATTATTATTAGTAAAAGTTCTATAATTTGTTCCCGGAGAGTATTGTCCAATCTTTAGCAGCCTTCCCTCTAAAAGTTTCATTGTTTCCTTCCTTTTATTCTTGCACTAATACTCTCAAGTGGACTCCCATATGCAAATGTATCCTTTTTATTTCAGTGTACTCATCAGGCCATCTAGATACTATTGAATCATCTTTCTTCTGTGAAATATTAACTACCTATCTCATCTTTTTGTCTTTCTACTTAGTTGGCTTTTCTGTTTCCCCCCCCCCACTATTTTCTGCATTTTTCCTATCGTTCGTTGCATTTCCCTGCTAAAGTCCTGTTGCAGATATGTACTTCCTGTTCACTTGCAGAACCATATGTGCAACTCCATGCTGTATGTATGGTTCTTGGATCAGATGAAACAAAACGTTTTTTTAAAAAATCCTATAGTTTGACTATTTGGAAATTGGAATCAGAACTCCAACTTCACTTCCTCTTCTCCCAAAGAAATAAGAGATTTCAGATGGCTTACATCTATAGATTTGCCTAACTGTATTTAACCTTTGAAAAGTGTGTATCTTCCATGTATTATCACCTTAGGGAGGCATATTAGAGCAGGGTTATTGAAGAAATAGCACTAGCACCTAGATTTACATACCACTTCATAGGGCTTTAGAGCACTCTCTAAAATGGTTTACAGAATTAGTGTATTGGTCCCATCAATCTGGCTCACTTGGCAACAGTTACTGTTTCACCAGAGATCCTTCATCTGCAGATAAGTGATGGCATTAGGATTTCATGAATTTTTCATTTCTTTGTATATAAATCATAGAACTGTTGTGAAATCTGAATGTTTTAGTTTAGTGTCTCTCAACTTCAGTAACTTTAAAATGTCTGAATTCCAATTCCTAGAATTCCCCAGTCCATTCATCTTCAAGTTGCTGAAGTTGAGAAACATTGGTTAGAGAACTGCCTTAGCAGTATTCAGTATAATATGTACTGTATATGTTGGTGCCACTAGATAATTTATTCTCCACCCTGTCCTGGAATTGATGTTGCAAACAATATGCAATAACTCAGTGGTATAAGGAGATTAGAATCCTAGCTTTGCCAAATATGCAGAATAATTTAGCAAATATTTGGAAGGAGATGTGAGTCACAGATGCAAGCTTTCTGTCTTTCCAAAGTTGGGTAAACCACTTCGTTAGCATTGAGCAATTGGAGGAAACACTGGTCGGTGTCACTCTGAAGATCATGTTCAATCTTTTTGCTTTATTGCAATAATGATCTAACTTCATTTATTGGATAGATTAGAAGTATGATTAATTATCGGCTCCACTTTGCTACACTCTTGGGTAAATCAGACGACTGAAATGGCATTCAACTGAGAAAAACAATAGACTTGATTCCTAAGATAAGCTAATATAAAAGAGTAGATAAGGAAGGCTTTTCTCATTCTTTTACATTGCCTCTCTGTTCACTTAAACCTCCTGAAATCTTCAATCTGGGGCAATCTTGAACAGTCTGTTTGGAGAATGACTTGCATTGGTGGGGAAAGAGTTGACCTTCCATGGACTTTCTTTTTTTATTCTGTGTCATTTTGCACATACCTCCTTAGAATAAACAGTGATTCAATTAAACTTACTCTCAGATAATTTGGTAGTGGGTCCAAACTACATATTCTCAGGTAAGCAGAAACTATGGAAGTACTATAGTCCTTGATCTACGACCATAATTAAGCCCAAAATTTTCATTGCTAAGCAAGGCAGTTGTTAAATCAGTTTTGCCTCATTTTATGATCTTTTTTGCTACAGTTAAGTGAATCACTGCAGTTGTTAAGCAACTCAAGCTTTCCTAGTTGACTTTGCTAGTTGACTGGGAAGGTCACAAATGGTGATTGCATGACCCTGGGACAGCGCAATTATTAATACACACACCAGTTGTCATCTTCATTTAATGATCCCATAATCCCTTGGGGGTGGGGGAGAGTCTGGGCAACTGAATGGAGCTAGCAGAGTGTTTTAATGGCCGGATGCCCTTCTTGTTACCATTGTGAAGTTTTGTTCAGCAGATATATTCTCAGTGTGCTCAGAGAGAGAGAAATATCTGTCCCTACCTAGGATAAAACTCACAGCCTCCTGATTGTGAGGCAAGAGCTCTGTCAGGTTTCCAAGTGATGAAATCCATTTTAAAAAGAAAAGCACAAAGTCCATCTTCCAAGACAATTTCCTTTATTTAGGAAAGCATCAAATTGGCAAAGTCCATGGTAATTCCAGATCTGACACAACCCGGAATTACCCCACATATTAGAAGCTAGAAACAACCTCCCCAAAGTCACATTCTCCAATAGAAGTAATTCAACGTTGCTTGATGTCATAAATCACCACCAGTGCCTAGGCACAGACAACTCGGGTTCTCACAGGAAGAATGATCACCTAGCCTAAACAACTCTCTTTATCTCCACTCCTCCCCCACGACTGCCAAAGAGAAAGTAAGAAAAAGAATATATATTAAGCCTAACTAAAATGGCTACACATATATCAATACTGGGCTTGACAGGCTCCACCTCTAGGCTCCTAATATACACCAGTTTATCAAGGGGTCACATTTTGATCACATAACCCTGAGGATGCTGCAACAGTCATAAGTGTGAAAAATTGTTACAAATCACATTGTGTAAGTGCTGTTGTACTTTCGAACAGTCCCAAAATGTGTTCTGACCAAGGTTTCCAAACAGAAATTACAGACACACGTCTTTTAAAAACAAAACTTATTTTATTGCAACGCTGGGAATTGTTTTCATTCCCAGCTTAATTAATCTCAAACAGTCCCCTGAGATAAGTACACACCTTTCAGTTCTGTGAAGTGCTGCCAAAAAGAGAAGTATCAAATGAACTAGAAAAGAAACCAACCTTTTTTTGCCACAGCTGTTAAGTGAAGCACTGCAGTTAAGTAAATCATGCAGCTGTTAAGCAACTCAAGCTTTCTTAGTTGACTTTGCTTGTCAGAAGCTGGCTGGGAAGGTCACAAATGATGATTGCATGACCCTGGGACAGTGCAACTATCATTAATACACAACAGTTATATCAACAGTTATCTTCATTTAACGACCCCATAATCCCTTGTGGGGTGGAGTCTGGGCAATTGAATGGAGCTAACACTGTGTTTTAATGGCCAGATGCCCTTCCTGTCACCAATGCAGATACATTTTTATTGTTCAGCAGATACATTCTTATTGTGTCTAGAGAGAGAAATATCTGCCTCTACCTAGGATTGAACTCACAGCCTCACAGCAAGAGCTCCGTCTCTAGGCTATCCCAGAACACTCCTAATATATACCAGTTATCAAGTGATCATATTTTGATCGCATAACCCTGAGGTTGCTGCAGCAATCATAAGTGTGAAAAATTATTATAAATCACATTTTTCAGTGCTGTACTTTCGAACAGTCACAGAATGAATGATTGGAAGTCGAGGGCACAACTATGAATGCACAAGTATGGATTTACTTACCTTTGTTTTTCTAAATTGTTTACACAGAGATAAGATGTTTCCAGCTTTTGGGTTTGGTGCTCAGATCCCCCCTTCATGGCAGGTAAGCAGTATGCTTTGGGAAGATAACTTACTCTCTAGATCAGGGGTCGCCAGCCTTTTGGACCTCAGGAACCACAACACTCATAATTTTAAATCCCAGGGACAACTAACTGGTTCTGTGGGTGTGGCCTAATTTGTGGGTGTGGCTTGGTGGTCATGTGACTGTCTGGGCATGGCTCGTATGTAAATATTATAAATATTTATATAAATATTGAACTTTTTATAAAAAAAGAACAACTTTTACCCAAAATCATGCAAAGCAGGCAGGCAGATTGAATTGTTCACAGAATCATTCAGTGATTCTATCTGCCATGGGCTAGCTCAGTCTCAAATTTGCTTGCCGTGAGTCTGCACTGAATAATAGAACCTTCAATCTTAAGGGAGGTTCGGCTGTGCTTAAAAGCAGAGCTGAAGATCTAAAGATTAGCTAGAAAGCAAGAAATCCAACCATTTCCTGCTTTCTAGCTAATCTAAATCTCCCAGCACAGCAGAACAGATGATGGTCGGAAAAAGGAAAAATAGCAATTTAGCAGGCAAGTTTGCTGGGTAAGGAGTGAGTGGGCGTCACTCCTCCCCTGGAGGGTTCCAGCTGGCCATGTGGGCGGCACAGCCTTGTGTTTCTGCACAGCCTGGATTAATTGCTTTGGAGGGGTGCTCTGGAGGTGAGATTTCTCTGCAGCCTACCCAAATTTTCTCGAACGTTTGGCGAACGTTGCTCTAGAACATTGTTATAGTTCATTAATTAAATTAATAAATAGTGACATGAAGTCATCTTGATAACTTTTAAGATAAGTGGACCTCAATTCCCAGGATTCTACTGGCTGGAAAATTCTGGGAGTTGACATCCACTGATCTTAAAATTGCTAAAGTTGTGTAAGGTTGATTTAAAGCAAGGGTCTGCAACCTGCAGCTCTGGAGCCACGTGCAGCTCTTTCAACCCTCTGCTGCAGCTTCCTATCGGCTGATCCCACCCCAGACTGGCCCCACCCCTTCCCTCTTCGACACTCCTCCCCTGGCCTGAGAAGGTAAGGGTGATGGCGGGGGATGGAGACTTGCTCCATATTCCAGAGCAAGAGGTGACTGGGTGGGAGTGAGTGACGTCGAGTTGGCCACTCCCTCCCAGTCACACCAGTTGTTAAATTATTGTCTTGGGGTTTTCTTTTCTGTGAGAAACATGAAAACAGAAATGGCTCTTTGAGCGTTTAAGGTTGCAGACCCCTGATTTAGAGGAAAGCTACTTGGTGAAAGATAAGTGAACCCGAGGAAAAAAATGGGTATCTTTATGTATTTTCAGGTGTCTCATGAATTCCCATTGAACTTTAACCCATCAAACCCCTTCTGCAATGGTAAGTTTTAATATACCACAAAAGTACGTCCTGACATTTCTAGGAATGCTGAATATAACAGTAGAGCAAGCCTGGGCTCAGTGATTGCACATTCTAAAATTAACACTGTTAATTTTGCATAATTATTCAGAAACAGTTGTAAAAGTAAAGATTTTTGATCAAAATTCCCTGCCTGCAGAGAGATTAGCAATAGGTTAGACACTTTTGAAAATATGGAAATTTTGTTTTTAAAATCCTTTACAAATATAACACCCTAATGAAGTGCCACAAAGGCACTTACGTATGAGTTTCTTATGACTTATTTCCATAGAGGAGTTGCCATTTGTGGAACTGTTAAAATTTTACTACAGGAAATTCTCTTTGGAACAAGGACCTGTGTTGCTACAAGTATTTTGAAGTTGGGTTGTGATGAAATTCTCTGTGTGCTCCTGTACTTTCAGGACTTCACAATCTGAAAAGAATCCCTTTGCAGGAAATACTGACAGCTCTTCTCCAAAGTCACGTGGCCTTCAAAAGTCCTTGGGATTTAAGTTTCATTCACCATTTGACTAACTAGTCTGCTTACTTTAAGTCTTGTCTTTACACTTTAAGTGAGATAAGCAACTTTGTAGATCTTCTGCCTTAAATGGAGACAGTTTACAATAGAAATGCTTATTGAGGCTTCAGCATATAGACCAAAATTTGTAGTGTCACGTGACATATTGCGATGCTTTCCCCCTTTGCTGGGGTGGGTGTGGCCTGCGCGTGATGTCTCCGGCTTGCAGGCCAGCAGTTTGACACACCAGATATAGACCTTCATAAACTAGAGTGGATGGTGGCCATGACGGATAAATTTCATTATGTTTTTATTCCCTGCAGGTGTCCAGGGTATTGTGGATGCATACCGGGTCTGCCTTCCTCAAATACGATTGTATGGACCCACCAACTTCTCTCCAATCATTAATCATGTAGCTAGATTTGCTGCTGCAGCTTCACAACAGAGAACAGCCTCAGTAAGTATCTTTTTGCTATGCTTAGCTGTTGTGAAAAGATATTGGTAAGAATGAGTAGTGATATGAATTAGCAAAAGCTCGTGGTAATGACAAAATGTAAACAAACAACAGTTGAGGTTTTTTTTAATACATATAAGCAACAACATTTGGCAAACATCTCTACCATGTTAGAATCCTTTTAGTACTTGGTACTAAGAGTGAAATGTTGCAAAAAGCAAAATGGAGATTAATTATTTATGATGAGGCATGAAGAATAGAAAGAACTGTTATTTGTATAAAACATAAATATCTGTACCTGTCCATTTCTTTTCCCTGAGATGCTCTGAAAGCAATTTGGTTTTCATGAAGCAAATTTACATCTGTTATACATTGGGGCGAATGCTGGTAACTGTTGATTTGAATAATTATGCTATTTGGAAGTCATAATTGAGATATCAGCCTGATTCTAATTATCCAGGCATTTATGGCTTCCTGCTAATAATTCTATCATTACTTATTTAGAAAAGAATAAGCTCAGAACATGAATAATGACTTTTTATAAGATTCCTGAAGCAAGTATATATAACTTCAACAATAATTCACTGCAGCAATCCATGAATGAAAAAAAAAACACTTGCCAGGCTAAGAAACTACGTATATATAACCAAGTTTCCTTTCCTTGTGATAGGACATAGCAGTTATCTCCCTGCATGTTTTAGGAATCCTCTTCACCTCATATTTGCCATTTTTCTGAGTTGTGAGTTGGCCTTTGTGGATCCTATATTTTTCAGATGGGTTGATACCCCTAAAATGCTCTAAACCTCAACATGGTATTAACAAGAAGCTCCTGTATCTGGAGTCTTACGTGAGAGGATGTATAGGAGGAAATGAATGTCTAAAGAAGCAAAAATGGTTCTGTATTAGAAAAATGTCTCTGGCAACTACCGGTAAAATGAAATTAATTAAATAGAAGTGAGTATTGGTGTTTGTCATGAGAAACATAAAAGTAAATTGCATACAATTTAGTTGGGTGAAAAGCTGATTTAAGACTTGATGGAGAAAACTTAATGGAATGTTTCATTGTTAAAGTAGAGGTAGTCCTCAACTTACTCCCCAAAATGGAGCCCCAAATTTATGTTGCTAAGCGAGACATTAAGTGAGTTGTGCCCCATTTTGCGACCTTGCTTGTCACAACTAAGTGAATCACTGCAGCTATTAAGTTAGTAACATGGTTGTTAAGTGAATCTGGATTCCCCATTAATTTGTTTATCGGAAGGTTGCAAAAGGTGGTTACATGACCATGGGACTGTGCAATCATCATAAAGATGAACCAGTTGCCAAGCTTCCAAATTTTAAATCACGTGACTGTGGAGATGTTGCAACAGTCGTAAGTGTGAGAAATGGTTACAAGTCACTTTTTTCAATGCCATTATAACTTAGAATGGTCACTAAATGAACTGTTGTAAGTTGAGGACGACCTGTAACTTAAGTATCCTTGTTAGGTACAGTGAGAGAGTAAAGAATACTGTTTTGAAAATTTATCTGGAGATAATAATAGTGCCTTTGTATAAAGATTGTTCTCCAGATGACAACCTAAGACACACATCAAATTGCATTAATCTTTTTTTAGTGTGTTGTTTTGGAACTTTTCCTTTCCGCCATTCTTATAAATTGGTATCCCAATCCCAATTTGTATCCCAAATATATCTTTGGAATGTACTTTCCTCAGCGGTAACCAAGTCCTTTTGTTCAACAGCAATATTTTATACTCCTGATAATCACTGATGGGGTGATAACAGACCTCGATGAGACCAGATCTGCTATTGTCAATGCATCTAAGCTTCCCATGTCCATCATTATCGTTGGTGTTGGAGGTGCTGATTTCAGTGCCATGGAATTTCTGGACAGTGACAGCGGAGCTTTGAGATCACGTTCAGGAGAGGCTGCTATTCGAGACATTGTCCAGTTTGTGCCATTTAGACAGTTCCACAAAGTAAGTATTGTTTCTTAAAGATGTGCATTGCTTCAGGCTCAGGTTCAGGCCTGTATGAAACTGGATTCATTTACTTTGAAAAATGAAACTTGATTATAGTACCTATTGCTTGATTTCAAATACCTTAAAAAGTATTCAGATTGAAATGACTACTCTAGTAATTACAGATTAGTTTAATGACCATATCAAATAAAGTAAGATAAAATCATGCAGCAAATATTCCATAAAATCAAGTAAAATCATCCTCTTGGTGGTTGACCTCAATCTGATCTAGATAAGGAACTCTCAGTTGAATGGCTATAGCTATAAACTTGGCAGTCTTTCTGTCTATTAATGTGCTTGTACCTTGAAGGAAGCTTATCAAGTATATAGTTGGCAGTCAGGATATGATAGATGTCTTCTCTTTGTGGCTACAGAAAAAAATTGGCCTTATAAATCTTACAGAAATTCCATTAATAAAACAACTTACATTGCTCAATGTTTGATTATGTCTTGCATAAATGCACTGTGGTAATTTTTGTAGATCTTACATAATCTTTTCATTTAATTTTAATATACAAAATGCTCTACTTCTATTTTTGGCTTTATGAAGCCAGTGTAAAAAGAAGAACTCTTCCCCCATGACATGACAGCTCATAAAGACGACCTTAATGGACAAGTCAGTCTGTGGTAATTGTTTTCCCTCTGAAAAAGTGGTCCTGAGAACTTCCTAGATGAGCAGGAATTGAATCAATTGGTTTTACTTCTGTCTCTATCCTTTGAATTAGGCTCCCAAGGAAGCTCTCGCTCAAAGTGTCCTGGCAGAGGTGCCACAGCAAGTTGTGAGCTACTTCAGCATGTACAAGTTACAGCCACCAAACAAGCCGCCAGCCAAGCAAGAACAGCAGAAGCAAGCATGAATCGCTCTGGGAAGTTTCTGTGCTGCCTGTCTGTGGTGTCCCTTGATGAGGATGCACAATAAAAGCTTTTTCATTCATTTTACAGAAAAGGCGCCATGCTAAGATAGCCTTTTCCTTTTTTGTTCTGAGTTGCCAAAGATGCTCTATGTTTAACCCCATTGCAAGTGAAATTGGAAAAGTAGTGTCACATGCAAAGTCTCCAGCAGTATATACAGTATATCCCAGAGTAGTAGAAGCATTTTTGTTATTTTGAAATGATAACTGCCTTGGGTGCTTAATTCTTGCATAGGCCCTATGTCAAATATTCAAGTCTTTTTTTTCAAACTTCAGAACCATTAAGATCAGGGTGCTAAGTTCAGGATATTTAAGTATCTTTCTTCATCCATCTTCCATGGTGTCTGCCCTTCTATTTCTGAACATGCAATTTGATGAAACAGTAAACATTTGAAAACTTGAGTATTATCTGGAGACTGGAACATAATTATAGTACAATTTACAGCTTTCTTTGTAACATTAAATCAAGGTGGCATCTGACTGTGATACGTACCTACCAACAGTTTATATCTGTCTGTTCCACATAAAGGATATAAATAGGATTAGGATTGCTTCTGTTGCTTATTTTATCACAAATCAATTTGAGTTTTGAGAAAAATAATTGTGTAAAGTAAGTACATGGACATAGAAGCTATATATGTGCGTGTGCCTGGAGAAGCTTACCTGTGTATATAGCAATCTCTATGTGCTAGAGAATCTGTATTATTTTAATATTTCATAAAAGGTTTCTCTATAGATGTAGTTCCAGGATGCCTTATCACTTTCTTTCAGTAGTATAAGCTGAAATGCTCTCCACAGCTGATTTAGAGAAGCCAAATAGTGTAACTTTTCTTTTTATCACAATGCCCATGTATTAGATTATCTTATTCTGCATGTTCTTTCAGGTCTTCTGGTCTTTGGGGGATTTTTGCATTAGTGACAGTTTGTGATTGTGTTTTATCTGCTTTCAGCATTTTTTTCTAAATCCCAAATATATGCTGATCAATAATCCAAATGTTTTTGACATTTTTTCTTGCCTTTTGTTCAGTAAGAAAAAAGTGCACATAATGTTTCTATTTTTCTGTGTGTATACTCTTAAGTGAAATGAAATTGGACTGAGCTGTCTGAAAAGGATTGTTAATTGTGCAGCATAAATTATGTAGGCCCCTATCAAAAGGCAAAAATGAGAAATAAAGTACCAGCCTTCTGTCCTGAAGCTTTGCATTAAGTTCATATTAAAATGGAAAATATCTGCAGGTTATAACAACTAATGCCATGTTTAAAAGTACACGTGTATCTAGAATATCATCTATTCATCTAATTAAAGGTATTTTTATTAGGAATTTTCTGCAATAAAATCTTTAGCGGGTTTCTTCCAGCATCCTATTGAGAAACTTTTTTTCTTTGTTTCGTGCATATGTGTAGGTGACTATTTATTTAGATCAGGGATTTGTTGCTAGTGGTTCGGTGAAAAAAACTAAATGCCAAGAATGTATAAAAATGTATTGTGTAATAGTATGCTTTGTGAATATTACTTACTGTATTGCGACCAGTTTGCATCAAAGGTTTATCATGTTGGAGTTCAAGTATTTCAGGATCAAAAAATTAGAACACAAAAACTATATTTTGTAAACTCTTGAGATATTTTCTCTTGTAAGAAAGACTGAAATTTTATTTTTGCACTTTGTTACTACCTTATACTGTATTTTCTGATTTACAACAAATGGGAAATGGCAATATCTTAAACAGGGGCCACTTCCTGCATGGTTTTTATTCCCTTCAACATATGATCTTAAGTCCATGGCATATGCCAAGCTATGCAACTTTTAAAATAGATTTTTTAACTGAAAAAAAAAAAAAGTTTGCTTTCTGGACCATGATGTTTTGTTATTGCCTTGCCCACTGTGTCAGCCATTGCTCACAATATTCAACCAGTTCTCAGTATTCTGAAAAATTCTGTGTTGAACTTTTCCTATCTTGAAAAAGGATAGCATAGCCTACAGCTATGCAAGTAAATCTATAGGTTCATTGCATTTTTTTAAAAAAATAGTATGATTAGAACTACAGCCATAAAATATGAATATAGTATTTGCTTATTAATACTTTTTAACACTTTATTTAAGTAATACCTTTTCTTATCTATGTTTTCAGCATACTTTTTCAAGCCAGTTGCTAGCACCACCTTGTGATAGAGTTTGATATTGGCATATTTGTACCAACATTTTTTTTTCCTATTTGATATTTTCATCATAAATTTGTATTTTGCTTTGAAAATACAATATCATATATATGGCTTGCACTATCATGTTTTCTGAATAAAGCTGTTTTTGTATGTGATGTCAAAGCTGACTTTGAATGTGACATAGCACATTTTAGTGACATACAAACCAAATTTGTTATATCCCAATAGTTCTCGTCTTTTAACTTTTTCTATTGTGTAGAAGAGGAGAAATGTTTTTGCCTGTATGTTTTTCAAAACTTAGCTTACATTCTCAAATTTATTCTTTGACCAAAATAATTGTTCATCATATTAATATAAAATTTATAGGCTGCCCATCTTACCTCAAGTTACCAAACTGAGAATAGCTTCCCAGAAGACTTAGTAATAGAAGAATTAATACTGTGCTGGGAGAAATATATCATTTAACAGAATAATAGCATTTGAAGGGACCTTGGAGGTCTTCTAGTCTAACCCCCTGCTCAAGCAGGAGACCCTATCCCATTTCAGACAAATGATTTTCCAATCTCTTCACAATTGTTTAGTTCATATAGTAAGCTGGAGTCTAAAGTAAGCAGTTCACATCCCATCCCATCCCTTTCAGAGTTGGGTAACACCTGTCTTTGTTTTAATTTCTTTAAATGTTCTACAAGGAAGACATTTGGTGGAGGCACTTTCTCAATCAAGATTCATATTGGTATTTTATTGGGAAGTAAGAGCAACCATGTACAATTTCATTCTTTATTCTAGGCTCAATTCCATCATTGTTTATTCTACTAATAGCCCTGGAGCAATCACCTTTGAGTTTAAGACCTGCTGCAGACCTTTTAATCCTTAGAGGCACTATATAAAGAATGCAAAGTCTCAAGGCTATGGAAGTCTTCTGCAATCCTCTCCCTAATCTGATAACATTAGAACAAAAAAGGGTCATAAAACATCAGAATGGCTTTAGAATAGCTCAGTACAGCGGGAGCTGACCTTTCTGCCAGCAGTGCATTATTAACCAAAATGGAATATTTCCTTGGAAGCTTATGAATGAAACAGCAGAACAGCAGATGGTCACAACAGAGGAAGTCCAGTAAAGAAATCTATTATTATTTCTCATTCACAAGTCATTCCTCTTCCAGGATTATGCAGACATCCAAAGCAATTTTTCTGGCAAGTAGGAAAAATTTCAAGGAACTGAAGAGCTTCTTCTTCTGTTGCTTCATATATTGCATGGTTCAGTGACTGCCCAGTCAATTTTTTTTTTTTAAGTATTAGCCATTATACTTCATTTTATCCCTAACTCTAGTAATTCCTGGTGGGGAAAAAAAATCAGGTGTATATTTTTAATCTATTAAGATTGCAGATCTTAGTCCTGGCATTTCTGTTATCTTGATAGTCCAGTAAAAATGGTAGGATTGCTCTCATTTCCCTAATTTTAATAATTTTAAAAAGCACCTTAATTTTTGTTAATTTTATGGATGGTCTTTCCTGTTGGTTTTCAATTTCATGTGAGGTAAGAAACAACCTTCAGAGGAATTATTTGGAAGCAAAGGTCAATTGTGTTACAGAACATTTAACAGGTTTATGTTTAAAATGAAAGTCACCTACTATGCCACCCCTATTGTTCCATTACCATTCTCCTGCTGTAAAGACTAGTAGCATCAATAAAACAGAATAGACTAGAATAATATAGTTGGAAGGGGCCTTGAAGGTCTTCTAGTCCAATCCTTTGCTTAGGCAGAAAACCCTATACCATTTCAGACAAATGGTTATCCAATCTCTTCTTAAAAACATCCAGTGTTGGAGCATTTACAATTTCTGGAGGCAAGTTGTTCCACTGATTAATTGTCCTAACTGTCAGGAAATTTCTCCTTAGTTTTAAGTTGCTTCTCTCTTTGATTAGTTTCTACCCATTGCTGCTTGTCCTGCCCTCAGGTGCTTTGGAGAAGAGCTTGGCTCTCTTTTCTTTTTCAGCTTGACTCCCTCTTCTTTGTGGCAGCCCCTGAGATACTGGAACACTGCTAACATGTCACCCCAAGGCTTACTTTCTTTTGGGCCCCAAAATAAGCACTAGGGCTTATTTTCAGGGAAACATGATTTCACGGTGATCAGCCAGGCTGGGCACCCCACCCCCACACAAGAATCGGCAAGTGCGTGTGGACTGACCGTATAAGGCAGCAGCTGTAACTTGCCAATCCCTTGGTTGGTGCACTCTAGGGCTGCACAAAGGACAAGGCATGGAGCAGAAGATCGGCAACCCTGATGTGCCGCAGAGGCTGCAGGCAAGCTGAGAGACGCAAAGACGAGCCTCCTGCACCACCACCCCCACATTCCAGCCCACTGATGCTCAGCTTTCATGCAGCCCACACGTCACGTCTGGATCCCCTTGCCTCTGCTTCTGCCTGCTGCTTGCATAGGTATTCACATGTACTGCAAGGGCTGCAGCTGCTGCCAGACACCATTGGCCTGCATGGGCAAATGCCCATCCCTTTCACTAGGGGTTATTTTGGGTTTAGGTCCTATTTTCAAGGAAACATGGTATGCATGTATGTTTAAATTCTGTAGTTTTAAAACTACCGGTATGTCTTGTATAAGTAGAGCAAATGTCTTTAGTGAATGCCAAAAGTTGTTTCTTTTGAACTATGAGAAGTCATATATACAACTAGTCCTTGCTTAACAACCTGCAATTGTGGCTAGCAGTTCCCTTACTAAGTGATGTCATTAAGCAAGATATCATATAACCATGATGGACTTAGAATTTCACTTCTACCATGGTGATTAAGTGAGACATCATTTGTGAATTTACTGCTAGCTTCTCCATTGCTTCTGAAGCAAAGATCAACAGATATCCACTGTAACAATGTTCAAGTTAACAAAATAATTCTGAAAAGAAAGCATTTTATTTAATAATACACAGATCAATGTTAACCCAATTATCCAGCCCTTTTTTAGACTAAAATAAATTATAGTCATGGAAGCTAACTATTGTTTAAATGATAACACTATGTTTTACCACCTTCTAATGAATTTACACTTGAGGTACCATTAGAAAGAACCATTTTTCTTACCAGTTTCCAGATACCCTTTCCAAAGAACTTTTAGAGAGTCTGTTGACCAACACACATTGATCTTTATTGTTGCTACTTACAAATTACTGTCAATGTCCTCATGGAGTTAGACAAGCAAAAGTACACAATAATGTGGCAGTTTATAATCTAAAATATTCAAAGCCAAAATCCTTGAGTACAAAAATCATTTTTCTGTTTCCAGGATAAGGAGGAGCAAAAATTTTATTGATCGTGCATGGCAAAATCTAACTCTTTTTATCATCATATATTTTCTGAATATTATAAGGAGGTTTTATTATTTAAAATCAGCCAGAATGCTAAATTTTCATGTCCAAATAGGCTAATCTACAGTCTGCATCTATTAAACCATTATGAACTGTTGACTGCACAAATCTTACATTGCATATTTTATTTATACTACCTGTGAAAAGCACAGAATCCTACCATGATCCTTGGGAAATGCCTTGTCAATCCCATTTCTGGGCATTGTTTGGTATGTTATACACTGCTCAAAAAAAAAAAGGGGGGGACACAAAAATAAGACATCCTAGATCGGAATGAATGAAATATTCTTATTTAATACTTTGTTCATTCATAGTTGAATGTGCTGACAACAAACTCACACAAAAATTAGCAATGGAAATCAAATTTAGCAACCCATGGAGGTCTGGATTTGGAGTTACACTCAAAATTAAAGTGGAAAAAACACTACAGGCTGATCCAACTTTAATGTAATGTCCTTAAAACAAGTCAAAATGAGGCTCAGTAGCATGTGTGGCTTCCACGTGCCTGTATGACCTCCCTACAACACCTGGGCATGCTCCTGATGAGGTGACGGATGGTCTCCTGAGGGATCTCCTCCCACACCTGGACTAAAGCATCCCCCAACTCCTGGACAGTCTGTGGTGCAACGCGGCATTGGTGGATGGAGTGAGACATGATGCCCCTGATGTGCTCAATTGGATTCAGGTCTGGGGAATGGGCGGGCCAGTCCATAGCATCAATGCCTTCATCTTGCAGGAACTGCTGACATACTCCAGCCACATGAGGTCTAGCATTGTCTTGAATTAGGAGGAACCCAAGGCCAACCGCACCACCACATGGTCTCACAAGGGGTCTGAGGATCTCATCTCGGTACCTAATGGCAGTCAGGCTACCTCTGGCGAGCACATGGGGGGCTGTGCGGCCCCCTAAAAAAATGCCACCCCACACCATTACTGACCCACTGCCAAACTGGTCATGCTGGATGATGTTGCAGGCAGCAGAACATTCTTCACGGTGTCTCCAGACCCTGTCATGTCTGTCACATGTGCTCAGTGTGAATCTGCTTTCATCTGCGAAGAGCACAGGGCGCCAGTGGCAAATTTGCCAATCTTGGTGTTCTCTGGCAAATGCCAAATGTCCTGCACGGTGTTGGGCTGTAAGCACAACCCCCACCTGTGGATGTCGGGCCCTCATACCACCCTCATGGAGTCTGTTTCTGACCATTTGAGCATTCACATGCACATTTGTGGCCCGCTGGAGGTCATTTTGCAGGGCTGTGGCAGTGCTCCTCCTGTCCCTCCTTGGACAAAGGCGGAGGTAGCAGTCCTGATGCTGGGTTGTTGCCCTCCTAAGGCCTCCTCCATGTCTCCTGATGTACTGGCCTGTCTCCTGGTAGTGCCTCCATGCTCTGGACACTACGCGGACAGACACAGCAAACCTTCTTGCCACAGCTCGCATTGATGTGCCATCCTGGATGAGCTGCACTACCTGAGCCACTTGTGTGGGTTGTAGACTCTGTCTCACCCTACCACTAGAGTGAAAGCACTGCCAGCATTCAAAAGTAACCAAACCATCAGCCAGAAAGCATAGGAACTGAGAAGTGGTCTGTGGTCACCACCTGCAGAACCACTCCTTTATTGGGGATGTCTTGCTAACTGCCTATGCTTTCCACCCTGTTGTCTATTCCATTTGCACAACAGCATGTGAAATTGATTGTCAATCAGTGTTGCTACCTAAGTGGACAGTTTGATTTCACAGAAGTGTGATTGACTTGGAGTTACACTGTGTTGTTTAAGTGT